CGTCTGCCTGCCCCCCCCCCCCCCCCGCCCAGGCGTTGAAGAAGCTGTCGGCATTGCTCGGCGTGGAGCCTTCGCTGCTAGAGGCCATGCTGACCCAGAGGGAGGTGAAGACGATGGCGGAGACCTTCACCAAGAAGCTGGAGGTGCAGGACGCGAGCCTCACCCGCGACGCGATCGTCAAGTCTCTCTACGAGGTGGGGGCACCAAAACGTTGATACCGTAGGTGACGTACGGTGTCACACACCCTTGGGTCGGTATGAGGCGGGGACCCCGTTGCGGAGAGGCTCTGGTTGGTGTTGCAGTTTTGATTTTTACTGCCCATCGAATGTGTACGTGCCATGCATTGGCCGTGAATCAGTCCCGCATGTTCGTTGAGATTGTTGATGAGCGCACCATGTTTTTTGGGGGGTCCCACGTTGCTTTCCGCCCAACATGTTTGGGTGCGGCGGTGGCGGTGCTGGCGGTTGCGGTTCTGAACGGTGATTGGCTCGATCTTGCCTGCGAAACCCTCATTTTCCTGACCCGCATTATGTGTTACAGTTCCGCGCATCGGTTTTCGGTTTTTGAACAGGCGTTATTCCTGTGGATCGTGCGGGTGATCAACACGTCGCTGGGGAAGGGGGAGGAGAGCTTGCCGTTCATCGGGGTGCTGGATATCTTTGGTAGGTAGTCACGACTGCGTTTTTTTTTCTTTTGCGATCAATGTCCCTGCCGTTTCGGCTGAAGCGGTGCTTCTGCTGCTGTGGTACAAGGGTGTGTGTGTGGCAGCGGTAAAGGGAGGATTTTTGCTGAGGTACTGATTTGGCTCGCGTGTTGAGAGCTGAGGCGGCGCGGCAGTGGTGGCAGCGGTGGTGACACGCTGAAGTGGCGCGGTCGACCGTAGCATTTGGTGCTACACGACCGAATTCAACTGTTAATTGCAGTGAAGCATCTCGATATCCAGCAGTTCGCCTATTAATGAGCTTCTCCACCTCTCCGCCTTGGATGTATTGCCTAGTGCGGTTCACCACCCGGAACCAGAAAGGTTGGCGTTTGCACTGCTGCTTGGGTGGTTGTCGTGTTATTCGCCCCCGCCGTCCCCTATCCCCAACCCTGACCCTAACCGTGCCAAAACGACAAAAACAGGTTTTGAGAACTTCGACACGAAGAACGAGTTCGAGCAGCTGCTCATCAACTTCACCAACGAGAGCCTGCAGGACACCTTCAACAAGCAGGTGTTCAGCAACGAGCTCCGCCTGTACGAGGAGGAGGGGATCGATGTGGTCGTCTCCAGCTGCCCCGACAACGAGGAATGCCTCAAGCTGCTCTCTAGCAAACCCAAGGGCATCATCCCCAGGTACCATGCGTGCCCGCTTCCCTTCCTCGCTGCTGTTGACCCCCGGCTGGTGGTGCGTCCGGAAATTGTTCCGAAATGTGCAATAGACCGACGTTCAGAATACATAGGATGATGATATAGAAAAGCAACATGAGTGGGCGTTTGGGTTTGGTGTATTCGCGGGGCGGGAGGGGGGGTGACGGTTGTTGGGCTGGAGGTGAGGTTAAGCGTGGCCGCAGTGTTCACCAGACATCGGCCATTGGCTCTGGGTTCCCTCAAACTTCGGAACGGAGCACGGCGTTGGGGGGTCGGGATAAGGGAGGCGGGCAGGCTGCTTGTCTGTGGCAGGGTTACACGTTTTTGCCGTTTTTGTGCCTGTTTGTTTTGGTGGCCTTTCTATATACTCCAGGGGAGAGAACGTGCTGAGAAAAATTGACAGTGGAAAAAGGTGGAATAGATCCGGGAAGGCACTGCTGTCCTGGTCACACTTACTCTGCCCCCAACTTCGGGAAGCGAATTCGTACATCAAGTACCCGTTGATTTTACGCGCCTATCACGGGCACTCTCTCGGCTCTGTTCCGCGGTGCGATGGTTTTCGATCATTTTGTTTTGCGTGCAGTCTGGACAGCGTGTGCTCGGAGCCTAAGCCTACCGACGCGAGGTACCTGGACGGGCTTCACAAGACGTACGTGAGGCACCAGCACTTCCCGAGGACCAAGCCAAAGGACATGGTGAGCGAGAGCTATTAATACTGCAATTACTTCATAGTATGGGGAAGAGTGTTTGCCGCGGCGGCGGCGGCGGCAAGGTTAAGGTGTTCTTGCGGCCTTCCCCGGTTCTAGACATAATTCTTATCCCGTGTACGTGTATGCATGCACGCCTGGTGAGCGTTTCCTCTCGCATCCGTAATGAGTGCACTTTTTCATGGGACCCTTCATTCGGCCGGCCTTGTTGTTCCGCGGCGATTCTTGGCCTGCGTCGTTGTGACTGTTTTTCCTCGTCACAGTCCATCCACCTAGCAGTAGACTCTCCCCTTTGCACATATTGCGTTTGATGCTTGCAGAATTGGGGCTGGTAGGCTGGCTCCACCATGACCCCCAACGCTCTGTGGCGGTTTGCTTGCCGTCCTCGCCCCTGCCATCGTGTTAATCCACCCTTCCCTCTCCCCCATCGTCCAACATCGAAGGCATGCGAAAGATGAGTTGTACGCCCCCTCTCTTCCTCCCTCCCCTCCTGGCCTTTGCTCAAAACCGTTTCTTTCCTAGCGCGAGTGCTTTTCGGTGAAGCATTATGCCGGCACGGTGAAGTACACGGTGGAAGGGTGGGTGGAGAGGAACATGGACAGCATCCCCGTCGCGTTCGCGGCATCTCTGGGCACCAGTAACCATAAGGCAAGCCCGCGGGAGTCCGAGAGGAAGATTCAAAGACAGCAAGAAAGGCGAAACAGACCGCATGTGTGTTGGGGGTGGCGGGGTGGGGGGGGGGGGTACTCATAGTCGTGCATGCCGTAGTCGTTAGACCGTTGACCTCGCATCCCTACAAAGCCGGGACGGAGCACGCCGGGTTCTCACCGGACCAGGCTCTCACATCACCAAGCGCGAAGCGCCGTGAGATATTCGGCGAGTCGCATGAAGGGTGCGCTGCATCCTGCTAAGGGTTTTCGGCATCTTGTGCTTACTTCCTTGCGTACGGATGACAGCTGCGTATGAATTAATTTATTTTCTGGTGCTTTCACTTCCAGAGACAGTTGTAAGCACTGTGCAACTGCCTCGAGGGTGCTTGACCATTTTAACACAACGTGGTGCGATCATCCCCCTTGCGCGGAGCGAGGGTTCTCCACCCCGCACAACATGATCTCCTCGACCACCAGTATGGTTACCGCCAAAAAAAAAATCCGGAGGTAAAAAAAAAAACGGTCACCGGGTTGCCGAGTTCACGTGAATTGGCTTGTTTTACAACGTCGTTGCCAAGCGACGAAAACCCAA